GTCTTGAGTTCACAACATTGTATTCAGTCATAAGATCGACCAACCGGGACGACAACAGCACCCCCACTCCCTGGCAGGCGTTCTCGATTTCCGGGACTCCGGACCATATAGCTAACGTCTCACCAGGGAGCTTTTCAGTACCTGGCAGGCGTTCTCGATTTCCGGGACTCCGGACCATATAGCTAACGTCCCGCCAGGGAGCTCTTCAGTACCACTGCCTTTCCGTTTGGTATCCGACGTACACACGACATCTAATTCTCTTTCTTTCATTATTTCGATCAACTCATTCGTCTTATCTCTCATGCCCCCTCTAACATTCCACGTGCCAACTCTGCACTCCGTCCTCCACCTTCCGCCGTGTCGGGCTGTGCGTGACGGGTGGCGGTCCCCATCACCGCTTTGCGCGCTGCATTCCACACCAACGGTGACGAGCTGGTGTGCGTCGCCTTGGGAGGGCGCCCTAACTCTCGTTTGCATGGGTGCGCAGCTGTGTAGAATTGCAGCCCTGAAAAGGGCTAGCAGGGGTCACGACGAGCACGCTTCTACAATGACCCCCATTGGGTTTAGTTTTAATTTTATTAATTACAGGGTCCCAAGTTGGTGGTAGTACCCAGCCTCCTTCTCTGTAGAAATTAGGATCTGTTTTTAATTTCAATAGCTCCACGTATCATCCTTGGTAGGAATCGATATTCTTTCGCGAGGATTTGTGGTCTATCAAATCTGAATGGTTGGGGCCGCCTAGGATATTATCACAAACTGCAGACTTCCTGGAACGTTGATGCTTCACATCAGCTATATATTCTTCTACGCGGGTTCTAATATATCTTTATGTTTGCCCTATGTATGAGAGACCACATTCACAATCAAGCTTGTACTCTCCTGCATTCTGTAGAGGAATATGACACTAGACAGATGGTAAGAACTGACTAATCTTCTTCGGCGGCTTGTAGAATGTTCAAATAAAAGCACGCTTCAAGATGTATCCAATCTTGTCTGTGACACCTCTGACACATAGTAGTACAGCAGGAACACAATCAACTGTAGCCGGCTTCACTCGGTCACTGTGACGTAGGCGCATGACCCGAAGCTTGTTGTCTTGCAGAACCTGCTTGACGTGATGAAGCTCGGTGGCCAGGTATTGGCTCTCACAGATCCCTCGTGCTCTCTGTAACAAATATTTGCCCACGGTAGCTAACTGTGAAGGATGGTGGTGAGATTCACCATTTAAATATCGGTTGTATGGGTCTTTTTTCTATACACAGTGTGACCTACGGTGTTGTTAGAATTTCGAATTACTAACAAATCTAGAAAAACTAACTTAGTAAATTGAATTTTAATGTTAATGGAATTAAGATGTTCTCAAAATGCAGTTACTTTGTCTGATGGTGAAATTGTGAAAGTATCGTCTACGTAACGCTTGTAGAACCTTGGCTTAACAGATGCAGTATGGAGAGCTTTCTCCTCTAAAGTCTTCTATGAATATATCGGCGATAATGGGAAATACAAGTGAGCCCATCGCAACATCTACTTGCTTGTAAAACTCTTCCTTTCACAATAGATAGCCAGATGTAAGGCAATGTCTGGGTAGTACTGCATATTCTGCTGGCATGTTATTTTCCTCTAGTTTCCTAGTTATAATTGAGATGCAGTCTTCAACAGGTAGGCATGTAAATAGAGACTGAACATCAAAACTGACCATGGTTTCAATATCAGTAAGACGTAGGTCTTTTATCTCACTGACAAAATGGTATGAATATTTAATGTGTGCTCTTGTGTGTCCTCTGAGTGGTGACAATATTTTAGCTAAGTGTGAGCCAATCTGTAAGTTGGCGAATCAATCTGACTCACTATTGGACGTAATCGAGCGTTCGGTTTCTTTATTTTTGGTAACCCATACAACTTCGGTGGTATGGCACATGTTGGTATTATCGAATTAACGTCTAGATTCAATTTCTCGGAGTATTTATTAATCGGATCGTTTTGAGCGTATTAGTTGTAGGATCTGTTTTGACCTTTCAGTATGTACTGTCATTCGACAAAAGTGTTTGTGTTTTAAAATTGTAATCCGACGTATCCATTATAACCGTAGCATTTTATCTCTATATTTATATATATATATATATATATATATTTATTTTATATATATATATATATATATATATCTTTATCTGCGCTCTGGTCTGTTGCGTAAGTTTTTCAACACGTTCAATTCATTTTTTGGGAAGATTTAAGTTCAGCGCTGAACTTCAACGTAACATTTACGAAATGTCTTTACGTATAGCCACTAAATCTTCATTAGCAATATTATTTTTATACAGACGATCAGCAACACTACACATAATGCCCTCAAACTATTTTTTGCGGTGTTATGGCGTAATTCAAACCTTTTTTTTAACTTTTATTGTGGTGTCATCAAGAGTTCAATTATTAAATCAGTCTAGTAAAAGTACCAGGGCGGACTAGAAGTAGCAAATAAATTACGCCGATAAGAAGATCTAAATACCAAGCGCGCATGATACGTAACAGTTTTTAATTTCTTGAAGAGATGCAGAGATTATAATCTCATTCCCACGTGTGTCAAAATATCCACTATAAAGACATTCGAGGAAGCGCTAAGATCTTAATTGAGGCTAGTGAAAAGTTTTTAATAATGGTTATTCAGCAAAAACGTACCGATCTATGTTTCATAAACAAAAAAAAACAACGCGCTATCTATAACCTATCAAAACTGTAATTTGTTTGGCTTATGTAATAACACATTAGTATTATTCTAACAACATTGTCTGTCTTTTGTTTTAGGTAATTCCACAGATAAGTTGGTCAAAATTAATCACTTAATATTGTAGTTACACTCTTGTATTATCAATTTCTCTTTTATACGCAGAGTTTGTGTCCCAAATAAACCTTTTTATATGTAACATGTCATTGGCGAATTCCTCGTAACCGCCATAAAGGAAGAAGAAGAAGAAGACCTTGGGTGCTAGAAAGTACCTCAAACGTCGGTAATTAAAAAATTATTTAAAATGAAACGCGATAAAATCCCTAAAAGTAGTTTTAATCAATGTGTAGTGTTCGCGTAAATATAAGAAATCTTTATAAACATAAATGTATATTTTGAAGTCAACACATTGTCATGTAAAAATAGATTCTTGGCATATCTTTGTCTAAAGAGAGTCTTCTCTCATACAGATATTGAACAATCACTTCAAATAATCTCATAAATATACTCAAATAAACACACGGACATACTATCAGCCACACACATACACACCAGTCACATACATAGTTGGCTTTTATTTATTACTTTGTATCCAAAGTGTTGATTCGCTTTATATAATAAAAATTCTAAAAATAACAAATTTGATTTCTTTATATTATACAAAGTTCTTAGTGAATTCGGGAGGAGGGCGGATCTGGTGGTCTTTAACCCATTTAGACCGATAATTATTTTTGTGAAAAATTCATGTTTCATTAACAAAACCTGATCCAAGAAAGCCTAAAAACCGGGGGGAAAAATATTTAAAAAAAAATTAATAAGAGGGGGGGGCGACTGAAGGGACGTACCACATATGGTACAGTAGGACTATATGTATGCAAAAAAAAGACATGATTTTACTAATTAGATTTTATTTACTTTTTGGTGTGATACATAATAAAGCACTCTACGTGGACACCGATATTGCACTTGACACATCTTGTAGGACATTGTTTGTGGCATAGGCCACACCTGGTCCTCTTTTCCTGCTTGCTGACATAGTGTTCTTTGACGTCGTATCGAGAGTCTGATGTTATTGAAGATGGTCGACTAGGACCTGGCCTTTCGCGTTGTTTATTACAATCGATAATATAGTTTGCAATACGACGTCGAAAGTTTAGCAAGTCGATATTCCCTCCATTATGTCTGTACAGCAGCCATGCATTTTGTACAGACATGTCTATACAATGGAGAATCAGAGGCATATACCACTTTTTTCCTCGAATGCTAGTTCGCAATGACGATATATTCTGATCTGATAAATCTACTCCACCCATATTTTTATTGTATTGTTGAATGAGATGAGGTTGAGAAACAGATATTTTCTTTTTTTAGTTGCTGAGAATAGCGTTCAGTTTTGTGGACAGGATCAACACCAACTGCATTAGAGCATACTGACACTATACTATTGTCATGCCACTTGCAAATTATAATATCATCAGATATGCGATAATCATAAAAGCCTCTTTCTTTTGTCTTTGCTTCTTTGTTACTTAATAGAGGGCACTTTCCAGATCTATTTTCTCTGATAGTACCAGTTACACGAAATCCCCTCTCAGTAAGTTCATGAACCAAAGGCAAACCGGTAAAAAAGTTATCTATGAAGAGATGGTAGTTTTTTCCATAGCCTAATGTTGCTAGTTGATCTGCATAAGACAAAACCACACTTGCACCAAGACCAAGCTGGGAATATTGGGCATTCGTAAATGTAGAAGCACCTTGGTATGGTTCAAACCATGCAATGTAACCTCCTGATGTTGCACCAACCCATAATTTGTATCCATATCTTATAGGCTTGCCTCTAATAAACTGTTTGCAGCCGTGATGACCAAAATATGGGACCATAGCCTCATCAACACTATGATTCTCCTTATGTGGACAGTGCTCAAGAAACCTCATAGTTAAAACTTTTAATAAAGGACGAACTTTTGCAAATTTATCGGATGTATCTAAATTTAGATTATCAGCAACATGAATATTAGAGTAAATTAGTGTAAATCTATCTCGAGACAAGGCTGAAGCAATCAAACTATTTCTTGAGTCAGATGCATTTTCCCAGTACATTCTTCTTCTGCTCACTTGGCAGTAGCCACTGACTAACAAAATCCCTACCAAACATTTCATCTCTTCAATCTTGACGTCAGCAGAGAGAAGCTTACGTGCTAAGTATCTATTGGTTTCAATAGTAAGCATCTCAAATACTTCTTCTGAAAATAATAAAGAAAACCATTCTATCGGGCTTCTTTCAATAGGAGTATGATAAAGGGGTTTCCAAACAATAGGTCTTAGCTGCAAGTCTCGTTTTCGCCAATTGTAATTCATGACACGTTTTTTTTAAAGGTTCTTGAAATTCGGGAGGGGTTTGGTCCTCAGTTTCTGGTTTTTCCATTGAGGTTGAGGCAGCAAGCTCCGCTGGAGCTCGAAGCAAACTTCCAGGCAAATTATTTATGCTGACGTTATCTTCTTCACCCGAGTCCTCGTCAGTTTGGTAATCATTGGCGGTGTCAGGTGGAAGTAAAAAAATATCAAAATCTTGTCTCTGGTTGCTAAAATCATCATCTTCCTCAAGAACTGTAGCAATTTCATGTAATGTCAATGACCTAAAACAATAAAACACAAAAAGATAAATAAAAAGCTAATATAATAATATGTAAATTGACTTAGGTATTTTGTGCTCATACATAGACCTACTGTACCATATATGATACACCTAATCTAGCACTGTGTACACCTTACTAAAATGACCCAAGTGAAACTTATTTGTAGCTATTACGTCTATTGTAGCCTAGTATTTAAAATAATACCAACAAATAATATGATTTACTATAGATAACATGAAACTTACCTTCTTGAAGACATTGTAAATTGTTTTTTTCCGTTTCTGTCTAGCAATTTTAATATAAACTGATAATAACTCGCATAAAATGTGTATGTTATATTGTTGATATAAAACTAATACTCTGAGTTATCTGCCACAACTAACCAAAAAAGTTAATAATTTGTGGGTACATCAAAATATTTTTACAAAGTAACTGTACCACATAGGGTACGGTAGGCCTATATGGGTTAAAGACCCCTAGTTCAACCCGTGTAGGGTTTCAGTCTTCCACGAATGACATAATATTGTTACAGTAGAGATGTAATACTATAATGTATCTTATATTTCGTTTGTGGGCAGTAAATTATTAAATTAACGTTTAAACAATAAGGTTTTGTAAAGATTTAGTACACTTTATTATCTACTGTTATTTGTTATTTTGTTCATTACAGTGTACCAAAAGTCCACTGCAAACATAGGTCTCACTCAAATATTGCCTCATAGTTATCTGGTGGGTGCTGCTGTACGTCTTCCGTTAAGGTTTCTCGCTAGAGTCTCTTACGACCCCCACGAGATATCTTGGAGTAGTAGACTGTCTTATGCCGCCACTATATTATGATGATAATTCCTTCGATGAATTTTGTAAAAATGATAAATTTTGAAAAATGTTTTAAATATCATAATGTACCTAGCTGATTTAATAAAAAAAGTTTCTTAATTTTAAGAAGCTTTTTCGTTTTTCTACAGATTATCGACTTACAGTTTATCTCCAATCTTAAGAACATGACATACAAGTCTCCTTTAAAATCTTGTTTAATATTTAACTGTGCATGATAATGGTAAATATAAATTAAATCTCTTTATTTTTTTTTTGAAAAATTACTTTCGCAATTTTGATATTTTCTATGGAATTGGCATTGGGTGAGAGTGAAGGTCATTTCTGTTTCACTGTCTTTTTTATTTTCCATTCAGTATAAAATTTGACGCAGTGTTTGATATAATTTACCGCTCGTAATATTTTCGAGCTATTTTTTTTTACAAATTTTCTTTTGCTTCGTAACTTTGATATGTGATCTGATTTTCTTTCAGTCTTCTTCTTATTGTTATGATGGAAACTTTTTTTTATAAGGAATTCTGTGAAGCTGTCGGCTTCTCTCTAACTAAATTTAATAACGTTAGATTCGGATTTGATTCAAATAACCTTAAAATCACTTTATACTGTCTGCTAACATGTTACACGTTTTCAACCCTCTCCTAAAAATAATTTACTTTCTTTAAAGTTTTAAGCAGTTAACGAAATTCTTTAGGATTGCTGTCGATATTTTATATAAAGAGATAACGAGGGGTGAGTATATAGAAACACAGTTGCAAAAATCTATTGTGTATGGAGCACCCATTTTCAATTACGTTTAGTTGCGATAACACAGAAACATGCGGTAATATTATTTTGCGCACTAACATGTACTGATATCATACGCCAAGAATCTATTTTCCTATTTCACCCCGTGGGTATTGTATGACTCCACAGGAGAAAATAAAGCGGGATTTGGTTAGCAACATATTTTTTATAATATCTACAAATAATAAAAAAAACAGCGGTTAAAACCAACCCACCTGACAATCATGGCAGCTATGGCAAACTTCCTCCTTACGAGCCAATTAATCTATGAGGGGAGGAGGGCGTTACTGATGAAAGTAAACTGTAATAAATGAATGAACCGACACGCTCACTGCGGCGTGATGAAGTCTTATTTCCCTGCAATGTAATATAAGAATAGCGACTGGTTTTTGAATTACTTTTCGTTTTTTCATTGTCAAAATACTATCCCTACATATCAGTTTAGCTATCTAGAAAAAAATTTGCTACATTATTAAATTAAAGAGAACTGACAAGATGGCAGCAATTTCCGTTCAAATTGTCATTCATAATCCAATACATTTAGCAGCATTGTACAATCATTCTGAAACATATGAAATGATAAATTATATTGAAAATTGTAAATGTGTTATCTTTCTAAATTTATTTGAAGTATTTATTATTATAATAGAATAAAGTTTTTAAGTTTTATCATTTTTTGTTATTTAAACTACGCTTTATTGTCTAATTATGTAGGTATTTACAATTTCTGCATTATTTTATGTTGGCAGTGTAGGTATATAAATATTGGATTAGGTAGAGTACAAAATAACTACAGGCTAAGCAGAATTAAAAAAAGATAACAAAGACCGCTTAATTAAAACGTCATGCGGAAATAAAGCAATTATCTCGCTGCATAGTCGGTACAAACAAGGATAATCCGTGCTTTTTTGTGGGAGTGAGTAAATTAGACTGAGACCAAAGGGTCACTTGGGACGAAAAATAGAGAGCGAGTTTGTTGTCAATTACTGTGCCTATTTTCTTTTATCGGGTACGATGATCAGATCGAGTCTCACTTTTTATCGTTTCATTTCTACGTTGCCGGTTATGTCTACACATGTCCTTTTCCTTTAATTGCAGCTCATTCCATTGGTAAAAATTTTGTTATATAAAAAAATCGTCAGCTATCTAGATCTCACCGAAGCTCAGCTTGATAAACTTTAGCGAATTCAGAATTTCTGTATAAGGTTTATATTTGGATCACGCAAATATGACAATGTCTCTCTCTTTTGTTCTAAGCTCAAGTGGTTGTCAATACGACTTCATCGTAATACTTACATACTTCATCTTCTCTATAGTGTTCACTTTAAAGTAGTTACGTTGTACCAGTTCCACTTCTGACTCAGTGAGCCATCACTGAGTCAGAAGTGGTACAAGTACGACGTTCGTCGACTCACGATCCTAAAAAAAAAGGTTTTGGCATGCTCTGATCACGAATCTGCGTCCATTCATCCATCCATTTTTGCGTAGGATGCACGGTTCCGGAGATGTGCAGATCAATTAACTCTTATCTAATTGATTAAAACTACTTTTACGGATTTTATCGCGTTTATTTTTACTTTTTATTTACTTTTATTTTTAAATCCCGACGTTTCGGGCGCTTTCCAGCACCCATGGTCACAGGGGACTGAGATGACTGACGTCCCGATGTCATTGTTAAACCCGGAGTACCTTCAGCTTTTTTAATTATTGTTTATCTTATCTAATTGATATCCGGCGGGCCTCCACCGTCATTAGCGCCCCATTATTCTTATCTACTTATCTATTGTTCATTGTATACCGTCATTATCTATTCTTCCTCAGCGTGGTGCTATTGTATTATACTCCTTTGTTCCTATCTACACTAATCTGACTCATCAATAACACACATTACCTAATTTTGTTAAAATTTTTATTTAAAAAATACAAAATCTTATTACTTATTATCTATAAAATAGGAGCGAAACATCTCATCCACTAAAATATCGTTGTACAATGTGTTCCCTGTAAATATACTCGTAAAACTATGTATTGAACATCCCTGAAACTTATATAGCAAATACATGAAGCAATATTCGCCACAAACTGAAGTCCACTCATTCTGAATCCCATCAACATTCCAGTTACATCTTTTACAATTTCTTTTTAAAAACTCTAGATGATATCGTACGATATGTAAAGCTACCCAATGTGACCCTGGTTTATCATCTGTATCCAAATTGCATATTATATACGTTGGTACGTGGGTGTACATGGGCAGTTTATTGGCAGCATAAACATTATTTTCTAGAGTGGGGTGAATCTTTTTCAGATGTTGTTGTACATCTAGTGTATCCATGATATTACTGCTATTAGTAGATTATTACAGTACCAATCTACTCAATGACTAACATAGGAATGATCAATTATAGTGATTTCTAAATATTAAATTGCATTCTTTGTGTTATACAAAACATATTTGAGTCATCAATACACTGAACAAGACACGACACGAAGGACGAAGGAATGTTGAGATAAGCAACAGAATGTGAGATAAGCTTGTTGACGCATAAAGTTATTATCAATTCCACTGAAGAAATTCTTTAGATTAGAATTATCACTTACTGGTACTATATAAGACCAAGCAACTGCAGTCATTGAGTTAGTGTATGGTCGTTTGACCACAGTGGATCTATCAATACTACATTTGTGTTACTTCAACGCATCAAAGGCCATGGACGTAGGTGTTTATTCTATTGACAAACTTACTTTTCTTTCTGTTATTTTCATACGTGTGTATGATTTAGTGTTAACAAATTATATTTAAATATTGTGTGTGTATATGATTAAGCCGTGGTAGCTCAGATGATTAGCGCAAAATGTAAGTTTCACAGTACGCGACCCGGGTTCGATCCCCGCCGGCACCAATTAAATTGTTAATTGCGATTTTAAGTGCTGATTTACCACGTGCTTAGCGGTGAAGGAAAACATCGTGAGGAAACCTGCATGTCTGAGAAAATTTCGAAGGCATGTGAAGTTTGCCAACACGCATTGAGACAGCGCAGCGAACATTTCCTAGCCCTAAAACCCTCTCAGAAATGAGAGAAGGCCTATGTTCAGCAGTGGACTTTTAATAGACTGTAACTTTAACTTTTTTAACTTTTATGATTAAGTGTTAACAAATTGATATTAATATGATAACTGTGTTGTTGCAGAAATCATTGAGCTTCGATGAAAATACCTATAAACAGTATTACTACTCGCCAGTCTCCACTCAAGAAGAGAGTGATGACATCGTCATTAATAATAACACATGCGATGGTGGAAAAAGAAAATCGCAATCGATTGATCATTTTTTTGAAGCTGAATCAAAAATAAAAAAAGGAAGCTGTTATCATCTACCGTAGCACGAGCCGATAGAGATGGTGTATCATACATTTCTACTAATTCTGACGACGGAGACCAAGCGATGCATCTCATCAAAATTGAAATGTACGATATGAAGAAGCTATCCAAGATTCCAACTACTGATCATTGGAAACATGCTTCCACGAGGATTAAATATTACGTAAAGACTAATAAGGATAGCATCTACGACAACACAAACGCCCTCGTATACAATATTACAAAGACAAATAAATAGCAGAAAGTGAAAAAGTTAAAAAT